CTTCTTCATCAGCCGAGTCGAATGATATGCAATATGATGCATTAAGGTAAAAAGAAAAATAAATTTTAAGGAATTTTGAAATACACATTTTTTGTCAATTTTGCATCACGATTTTCATCGACCTGTACTGTATATGTAGTAGACGCTAGCTAAAATACCAGTAGTGACATAAACTCTAGGATGTCCAGAGCTAATCAGTACCTTAATATTTCACTTTCCGTTAATATTTGGAAAACACATAATGGTTTCATCAACTCGTTGTAATGCGCTGGGGAGGTGGCCGGCGTTACCCCTATGCCGGGCTTACCCCAGAAAAATCAACACTTTTTTAAAACTCGATTTTCTCAACCTTATACTTATTCCACGAAACCGAATTTTTGGGAAAACACGGCCAATGAACTTAGCTAGCTAGCAGGATATCAACATTTTATACAGCACGTATGGTATGTAATAAAAATGAAAAAGAGCTTACTATGCCGGGCTTCCCCCGGCTTCCCCTATACATGCTTGGTTCTCCAACATGGATTCCAGTGTTGGAAAAATTTATATATAAGAAAAATGATTTTACGACTATAATTAAAAAAGTGACTTTTTTCTTTTAGGGCTGAAATCTTTTTATCCTCGCCAGCACAGGCCGTTTTGCGTCCTTCGACGGCACAATGGGGGGAGGGGGAGCGGTTTTTCGAGCCCCTCGCGTTTGGCCCCTAATTGAGCGCCTAGAGCTTTACGGAAAAAAGACATCGTTTAGGTCGTCACGAGACGAAGCCAACGGTACCCGTTCTTAACTTTTAAGTTCGTAGGTTAAATGGCCACCTCTTAGGTCAGGTCAATGACCCAAAAGTCGGGAAAATCGAGACTTGTTAGAACGTCGTTAACCCGCGCCCCGTAGGGGGGGGGGCGTTTCGGCCCCCCCACCCCCTGTCCTTTTCCGTCGATATCTCCTGAACGGCTGCAGATATCGCCACTTAACTTACAGGACTTCTCCGGGCATCAATTTTACACATTGTGACCAAAAAATTTTCCAGAGGCTATGATGGGTTGGCCATAAATGACGTCAGAATGACGTCATGTTCTGCCATTTTCGACCGAAAAAAGAGCTTCGCGAGAAGAGCTGTCAGGCCTACAGCTTTGAAGATACAAAAAAATTATCAGACATTAAAGGTGTAGAATTAACAGGGCTACAAAACTGCTATCTCGGATTTTTGAAATTTTTGAATTTTGACACCCAAAAATCAAAAAGTAATTTTTTGGATATATTAGCCGAAAAATACAAAAAGTTGTTTGAGTTTCGAAAAAACCGGAATATACCGGTATATCAAACCGGTATATGATAGTAACTTTCGTCTTCTACCTACATAGCAAATTTCAGATCGATATCTCTTTTTTTGCCAAGTTATAGCGAAAAAAAACTGTTCAAAAATGATGACGGAAAATTTTCAAACTCAATTTTTGGCAATTCTAGACCACGTACGGCAAAACAAAGACCGCCATTAGACTCCCAGTGACGAGCTGCATCGATTGGATACTCGTTTTATGCAAAAATATCAGCTTTGAAAATTGACCTAATTTGACCTGACCTTGACCTGACCTTCACCAGAACGTAACCTAAACTGGCCCCAAAGGCTAAATGACCCACATAATCGCATTTGTCATGTAAAATGGACCATAAAACATGTATCACACGACACTTTCATATTGTGACCCCCCAGTGACCTGACCTCTGTGACTTGACCTGGTATCAGTGACCTCAGATAGCAAAGTATGTGTTTTACGAACAATTTACCATCGATGGTTTTCAATAACTAACCAATTTACTCGATTTCACAACACATTTCTTGAAATGCCTGTGAACGGTGAAAATCCGACCTTTGACCTGACATGCGACGTCATCGGTTTAACTTAGGTCAATGAAATTTGGTCACAAGGTAGTTCCGCGGTAGGGCTATCGAACACCGTTTGAATTTTGAAAATCGGCCGGTAAATTTCCGAGATCTTAGGGGGCCGAAACGCCCCCCCCCCTACGGGTGGTAGGGTCCGCCGATAGCCCTACGGGGCGCGGGTTAAGTGTGGCTGCCATGTTTTTTCAGTGTTGCCTTCATGTATTTAGGCCAGGTCGGGTCAGGTCAGGCCAGGTCAACCAGAAGGGGTCCTGCCGGGTATTCGTAGTAGGTGTCAACCGCCTCTGACAGCAGTAGCGGCGGAACACCTTCAGTTAAGAGGGGGCACTGCCGACTTTTGGTCCCATTCTTTCCATGCAACGCCCATAGGGCTAATGTTGAAATGTCAAAATCAAAGGGGGGCACGGTGCCCCGGTGCCCTCCCCGTTCCGCCGCCTATGTCTGACAGTTTCGTAATATGTTACGAAGGCACCAAAACTACTTCGTAAATGTTCAAATGGTTGCTAAATTCGAATTCAGCTCCAAAACTAGCCTAACAACATGTAAAACTCGAAAAAGTGAACAGAGGTCATCAAAGGTTAATGAGGCCTTGCCATTCACCCTAATGCCTCAGACCAGCATCATATCACATGTTTGGACGCTTGAAACCACGAAAAGACTGCAAACGCGCGGCTAATGCGCGCCGATATGCGACATATGCCGAATCGCGATTCCGACCAAACATGGCCTCAAAAAGTAGGTCACGTGTCAAAGGTCATTTTGGTCAGGGTCATGAAATGTTTAGGGTAGGTGTAAAATTAATTGACGCGAGGATAATGAAAGTTTCGTCGTGATCGACTGCTTTTTACGCGAGTTATTTGCAAAAAAAAACTTAAGGGGGTTGCATTAACACGCGCACCGACGGGGGTCTCCACCAACTTCGTACCGACGGGGGGGGGGGCGGATGACCGCCCCCCCCCTGAGATCTCGAGAAGGAAGCAAGATAGCGACAAGCGGTAAACGGCATCGGATACGCACGGTCAAGGTCTACAATTTTTACTAAGGTCATTTTCAGGTCAGGTCAAAGAAGACGTCACAGAGGTCGAAAAAGTCAAAATGGCGGCTCTAGATATGAAGAGAGTTTTCTCGAATAACTTTCGAATTAGTCAAGATAGGAACAAACTAAGGGCATCATCGTGATCCTCTCGTCAATCCGCATCGAATGATATATATATGTTGACCTCGAAAGGTCAAGGTCAAAGGTTGACCTCAGGTCACGTGACCTCGAGGTCATCATGTATATCATTCGATGCGTCTTGACAAGCTGAACACAATGAGACCATCCGCGCGGCTGTATCTTGTTCCTGTACGGAGTTATTGGCAAAAAACCTTTGGTGACCTTTGATGACGTCACATGACCTTACAGCTGCCCAACAGCAAAACAGACCTCAAGGTAGTGAAGGTTGATCGTATTTGAAGTCATGTATGGTATATGGGGCCATTCCGACCCGTTTTGGTGGTAAAAACAGGGAGTTGATTTTCCCCATTGACTTATAATGGGAGGTCGCGAAATTGACCTGACCTTAGGTCACCGATATCAAAATTCCGAGAGATATAAATTGTAGCTACTAATGACCTTATAACATCCTGCGACTTTCAAAGGCCTCCGACATCTACTGTAGCTCTGGCACGGTGGCAAAGTTGCAAACAAGTGACTTGAGGTTGGGTCATTCAAAGTGACCTGGTGACCTGACCTTAAAAGTTAGGAGGTTCAAACTTGCACACCATGTGTAAAATTGATGAGGAAATAGTCGTACCAAATTTCGCGGCGCTATGCGCCGCGAAATTTAGTAACCGCGGAGTTACCAAATTTACGAAATTTGAAAACCGCGGCGCTACGCTCCGCGGTTTTCCCGCTATTCGCGAAAAACCTCAGGGGGGCGGATATCCGCCCCCCGTCGGTGCGCGTGTTAACCCCCCTCCCCACCCATGTGCCGGCGAGGGTTATTTCGAGATAGTCATGTTTGCGTACCTTTTGACGTTGTGTATTTTGATTTTGTTCGATTTTGCTTGTAAATTCGACTTTTGACGATTTTTCAAACACTGACGTTTTTGTGGCTAAAATATTTTCGTGTAGTTAGTTGGGTCAGTTAAATGGCGGTTCAGCCCCACCTGACTGAGCCTGATTCTTTTCTTGTAGGATTTCGTAATCACTGCTCGACTATTCTATTCAGCGTTGCCAATGGGCTCTTGTTCTGTTTAGTTCTCCATCGCTCTCGCCAATTGCGTTTGCCGAGTTATTCAGTGCCGTAAAGACGTCCCTCTGTTGCGTGTCCCGGCGCAGTCAGCGCGGTGCACACTGCACTGCCGTCCGTGTCGGCGGCGCGGCGCGGCGGCTCACGCCCGGGCTGCGTGGCCACTGGCGGCGCCCCGCGACCGTGCGTCGGTGCCGTCAACTGCCCCGCTCAGAGACAGGGAGCGGAGCGCCGCTGACCAGCGGCACCCCGTGACCGGCAGTCGGTGCCCCACTCAGACACGGGCGGCGGAGCGCGACTGCAGCCAGCCGCGGCAGTCTCACCAGCACCGACCGTCGGCCGGGTAAGGTGACACCGCCTTCGGCTATGTATGATTGATTCTCTGAGTGCAGCTCAAACTTTCTGTTCGTCTGGAGTAGTATCGCTCTGCGATTTCGATACTGAAGTAATATTTATCATTTTGCACCGCCGACGCCTGCCGTGTTTTCTGCTTCACAACACAAGCCATTGTAGGTACATATTTGTAGCGCTATGTGCATTGAGCTAAGTCTTACTTTGATGTTATTTCGAGCAGCCGAAAATGGCTCGAAACTCAGACGCATCCATCGTCCAGTTTTCTCTTATCATTTCCCAAGAACAAGTGTAGGTTTTATTCGATGTGTAACAACCACGAAAAAGTTATTATATCATAATATTCATCATCTGTTATCAATTAGGACAGCTTTTTCTTAACCTTCAAAAATTACATACCGGCTTTATTTGTAGTTATCTCGATATCTGGTTTCGCCCACAGGCTAAGGACCAATTAGCCGCTACTCGCTGCCTTATCGAAGTCCATTCAGGTAGTGCGAAACAAACGTCGACCCGAATGGAGCGGTTCGGCTCAGTGATCAGCGTGGGTGACCCCTGGCAGTCGATCAACTTCACCCATCAGCCGCTCAACGTCACGATGATTCATGTACGGTATGAGGGAGGGAGGGAGAGAGAGAGAGAGAGAGAGAGAGAGAGAGAGAGAGAGAGAGAGAGGGAGGGAGAGAGAGAGAGAGAGAGGGAGATAATGATAAAATGCTGTTTTATAGCTTTTGCCTTTTTACAGGCTTCACTCATTTACCTGGCTCGTCCCTCGCGATATACCAGCAAACGCTATGCTAGACAAATGATCTTAAAATTATTGAACTATCAAATTGTTCAAAGTCGTGAAGATAGGTACATCTGACTCCACGAGGTTGTCAGATTTTGTCTTCTGTTTTACTGTTTTGAGTGCCGCTGCAGCCTGCACCTGCTTGCTCCGAGCTCGTGTAACCTCGCGTCTGCCCCTGCTCTCGCCGGGCGCGCAGGACCCTCCGTTTACATACGTGGAGGAGAACGCGTCCGGGGCGATCAGCCAGCGCGGCTACCTGGTCGACCTGTGGAAGATCGTGGCCGAGGAGCTGCAGCTGCGATACACCCTGCAGCCGCCCCCGCGCGGCGGCTACGGCGCCCTGCTCGAGAACGGCACCTGGTCCGGCATCATCGGCCAGCTCGACGCCAAGGTGGGCTCGCGGGAAAATGGGAACTCTTGGGTTTCCGTATAATGTATATACTACATACATACCTACCTACATATGTGTGGGTGTGGTGCAGGACGCTTGGAATCTCGAGCCGTTTTGCAGAGGGCCTGAGCGGACACACCGTTTACTTCAACTGGCTTATGCTGTTTGAGGATGTTATTGTTGTTTTCTTATAATGTTTCAAAGGGAGATCGTGGGAGATCGTGTCCATTTTCAAATAACCTAGTCCGTCTGCTGCAAACGGTTCTTGCCTGAGTGCAGGTCGTTTAGAAATGGTCTACTTTGGCCCGGGCCATTGCCCATTGGCTAAAAGTCGGAGGCTCGGAAACGGCCCGTAGCGTACCATGAAACAGCCCGACCTATTTCCAATGCAGGGCCCGACAGGTACATTCTGGCTCTCGGGACGAATGGTGCTATGAATCTAAAATATTCTTTACATGTTTCTCGTTGCTATCCTGTTATTATTTACGCAGTTGTACGTGGCTAAGCATGCACGCTTAGTAACATAAATCATTGACATCGGCCATTCATTCCATTTACTGCCGCTGAACTGCTGCTAAACGGCTCCTGCGTGCATGGCACATTTCCAGTGGCCTGAATTGTGGCTATACGCTCTTTAGTATCGCTAGGTGTTACTTCGCAATATTCTTCCAAATATCAGGGTGAGTTACTCCCATTTTGGAAACATTAGTTTTATTAGTTAGGAGATAACTGTCTAAGACACCCTACATAGGGCTCAGACGCCCCATGTCCGTATTTAGAAACTTTTATAGTTGCATCATTTTTGGTCATCCTTCCAGGGAAACAAATACCCGTACCTACTAGTGAAATTTTGACGAAGTTTCGTTAGCGCCTTTATCATGGGTCGATTTTAGAACCAGACATATCATTTTCTACGATTTTTACAATAGATATCTGTCATAATAAGGACAATATTAACTCATTGCACATATGTTACGTACATCTGAGCGTCTTATACACCTAAACAAGACTATCAGTTCATTGTAGTTCATTCCTCATCAAGAACGGTGCGAATTGAGAACTCCATGTTTGTCAATTTTCATACCTATCGCTGCATAAGATTGCCGTGAAAATCCCGCGACGCCCCGGCAACTGGTTATAAGACTAACAAACCGTTCCATAAGCTTAAATACACAACTTATCACATGCAATTTGATAACATACATACTTCACTCCAGTTTTGTCGCAATCGGCCGCTACTTGCGCGAGTTTTTTTTGCAACAACAAAACAGTCTGTTCGACACCCCTATGAGTTTAAGACGTATGAATTTGCGGGAGCTACTCTGTCGGGTTGCGTTCTGACGGCTGCTCTGCCCTGTCAGTTTTTTGACCGGTCTGTCAGTTTCTCAGCGGTGGATGAACAGGCCATTCTGTCGTTTTCTTAGCGCACTCGCGGTCAGCTCGTCAGTTCATGTTCAGACTGACTGCCAGTCTGTCAGTTTTAACGTGGTGTGACTGTCGTTCTATCAGTTTCTTTTTATTGATATGACGGCCCTTCTGTTTCCCAGCGGGCGGACGTCGGCCTGGGATGGTTTACCTACCGCGAGGACCGGGCTGCCGTCGTCGACTTCGCGGACCTGGTGCCCGTGTTTACCGGTGACCTCCAGTTTCTGGTGCGCCGCGGCGCACGCACCACCCCGCGCCTCTCGTCCGAGATGTTCGACTCACTGCTGCGGCCACTGCACTCCTCCGTCTGGCTGGTCTTGTGTGAGTATGGTGCTGAGGGTCGCTGTGTGTTCCAGTGACTGAAGGTCGCTGTGTGTTCCAGTGCTGAGGGTCGCTGTGTGTTTGGGTGTACGCTGAGGGTCGCTGTGTGCTTCAGTGCTGAGGGTCGCTCTGCGTTCCATTGCTGAGGGTCGCTCTGCGTTCCATTGCTGAGGGTCGCTGTGTTTCAGTGCTCAGCCTGCTGGTGTTGGCCGCCGTGCTGTCCACCACTGTCGCTCTGAACCGGCGCCGCGCCGAGAGCGACGAGACCTGCCGCGAGTTCGGCCTGGGCTCCAGCGCGTTGGCCGCCTTCATGGCGGTCACCGGCCAGGGCTGGGCGGTCACACCCGACTCGCTGGCCGCACGGATCGCCACCATGTCTGCCTGGATGATGAGTGAGTGTCCTGGGTGCTGAGTGGGTGTCCTGCCTGGTGCCGAGTGGGCGTCTTGGGCGATTACTGATAAGTGAGTGTCGCTCGATATCACATCTACTTCGGAAAACCCTTTATTTTGTGGGGAAGAGCAATGCTATTTACAGTGACTGTCGGAGCTCTCCTTCTTTAGAGCATTCAACTACGCAAGCATACTTGACTTACATAAGCATTCCCTTACCGTGACGATACCCCGTGCAGGTATACTGGTGAGCACGACGTACACGGCGAACCTGATCTCTCACCTGACAGTGGGGGAGCCCGAGATGCCCATCACCAGCCTGGCCGAGTTCCGCGCCAGCAGCGACTGGACGCTGGCCGTCGAGTTCGGCGTGGGAGCCATGGGCGACTGGGCCGTGAGTACCCGGGGTCAGCAGTGCAGGGGCAGTCGCGCCGAGTGGGCGACTGGGCTGTGAGCACTGAACTCTATAATGTGGAAGGCGCATCGGCCGCCAGATGGTGTCCAACGGTGCCGCCATGTTGCGCAGACCAGGAAGCGGCCGCCGCCTGTGTTGGGGAATAGGGAATTCCGGACCTCGATTTACGTTTGCGGCCGCTGCATCCGTTACGTTTAAGCTATGTAGACACGGAACCCGGCATTTTACGCAGGATTGAGTGGAGAACAAGATGAAAACTTAAAAAATCCTCAGATACAGGACCCTTACAAGTCAATTGGGAAATATGGAAATTGCTATTTTGGCGCCGGGAATGATCTGAAACAATCTCAAGCATATAGAATCGTGTTTTCATGCACTCCTTGCAGGGCCCGATGCTTCAAATTAGTATTGTTGCCCTTGCGTGACGTCATTTGTGACGTCACAAGGGTCATGCATTTTTCTTCAATAACTCCCGATCAACTTGAGCTAACGAATCAGGAAAGCCACAAATGGACTCAGAAAGACCTGCCGAATCGAATGATATGCAACATGACCTTACTCGACCAGCTTCGTGACCTGAGAGCTCTGACCTGACCTTGTCACGAGGTCAATGCCGTAAATTGACCTCACCCGAACAAAAAGTATATCAATCGATGCGCCTGAGCTAGGTTAACACGATGATGCCAAAATCGCGGCTCTACGGCCATTTTTGGCGAAGTTATTTACCAAAAACCGAACCCGTGCCTTAGGTCACTTGACCTGACCTTAGAGGTCACCGTTTGACCTGAGACCTTAAAAGCGGATTCCTACCGGTCACTCTGCATTGTACTCTGCCGCATACGACCACTTTGCGGCTAAACTCTAGTTGAATTAGCGGCGCATTAGCGAGATGGATTCAATCAACCCTCTCGGACGGGACAAATGTACAAAGACGATGGTCCGGCGAGTGAGTTTGAGGAATTCTGAAGATTCGATCGTGTTCCCCACTCAATTCTGCGTAAGATGCTGGGTTCCGTATCTACGTAACTTGAACGTAACGGATGCGGCGGCCGCAAACGTAAATCGAGGTCCCGAATTCCCTATTCCTCAACACAGGCGGCGGCCGGTTCCTGGTCTGCGCAATATGGCCGCCACCGTTAGACACTACGGCCAATAGGGTTGAAGCGGCAGTGCTCCCCTGTGGCTGTGAGTAACCGGGGTCAGCAGCGCAGGGGCAGTCGCGCCGAGTGGGCGACTGGGCCATGGATGAAGTATTCCTAGATAGGACACTCCCTATAATTTCCCCAACACTAGCGCCGGCGACCAAGCAGGTGGCGGAGCGCCGAAACATCGGCGGCGAGTGAGCCGGCCGCCGCCGCATTGCGTGCGTGCTAAAAACGCGGTAATGGAGAGCTAAATTAGCGAGCTTTATCTCATAAGAAACGATTTAAGACACTTTAAACATAATCTTTAGTCCTTTCTTATCATATTTATGGCTCCATTCAGTCACTATCATATACAGAACCATTTCCTGATGCCCATAAACTGAGCCGATATTCTTGACTTGCCGATGCAAATTATCACGAAATATTATCGTTCCTCGGCAGTTAAACAAGTTCCTATTAATAATTTAATATAAATATAAGCTTATTTTCATGTTATCGCATAAAACATCACTTTATTCTAACATTGGCTCTTCGGCTGTAATCACGAACGTTCACTTGTGAGCAGAATTTAAGCAACTTCTTAAATTACAACTGGGAAAATAATATTTTCAAGACATTCCTCAATTTCTGTTCTACCAGGTTCACAAAGCTTTTCATCGAAATCGGTTACAGGTAAGCAATAAACGACCAAAATATACAAAAAGACGCGTTCCGCCCATAGCACGCAATGCTAAAATGGCGCCAACGCCCTCGCCGTCGGAAAATCCGCCCCCGCCGTCGGGTGGGTGGAAAATCGGCGGAGTGTCCCATCCAGGAATGCCTAATCCATGACTGGGCTGTGAGTAACCGGGGTCAGCAGTGCAGGGGCGCCAACTGGGAGCCATGGGCGACTGGACCGTAGGGGTATTGTTTGGTAAAAACTGGGCCAACTGGATGGTGGGTACACCTACGGTTTAGACATTTCTTCCGTGGAGAAATTGTAGATAGTGGATAAATTGTATTCAACCTTAAGTTATATATGCGATGACTTAAATTTATCTAAAAAGCAAATAAAGTAAATAAAGCAAATAAAGCAAATAAATATAAATTTATCTAAAAGCAAAATCTAAGCTAAAAATGTCCTGGAAAGTCGGCCCAGAAACAGCGTCGTTTGCACCAACGCTTGTTCGCTATTCGCGGAAACAAAATTTCATGACCCTTCCTCGCCCTACAGTGCATGCCATGGGCTTAGTCCATAACCAGGCTACGGATGATAAATACCCCCTCGTCATCACCACCCTACATACATTTACCGGCGTACATTATACGACGCTCGCTCACCCAGCTACTGTTCCGTGCGTCCTGCAGAAGAGCTCGGACCCGAATCTGTACCACCTGTACCAGCGGGCCGTCACCGGCGACCGCTACCTGGCCATGGGCGGCAACGAGGACAACATCCGTCGGGCGGCCGGGCCCAAGACGCTGATGTACTACAACCGCGAGATCGCCTTCTCGGTGATCGGCCGCGAGACGTGCGAACTGCTGCCGCTGGAGCCGGACACCGACCACAGGGGCGTGCGCAACTACCTGGTGCTCCGGAAGGGCATCCGGCCGCTCAAGAAGGCCATGGACCGCGTGTGAGTTACGTACTGCACGATATCGGGACAGTGCAGAGGTGGAATAGGGTGCGAGATTGATGGGCTTCACCTGCACGTTCACAGCGGCTGTGTTATGCACCTTCCATCACAATGGCCTCATTTACAAGCAATGGTAACGCACGGTAATGTTGATAGCGCATCGATTCGGCTTTGTCTGCCTCTGGTCTGTTGACTTGATTACAGACTGCATCACACTGCACTGCCCATGAAAGTAGGTGCATCTGTTCATGTTATTTATTTATTCTATTTCTTCATTTTTTTAACTATCATTGTTTCAATTCTTGTTAAAGGTCTGAATCTATTCTCAATTCAATAGGTTTATTTGTGCCAAATAAGCACTTTTGTTTCGTTCGATCATCGATTTATGTATTAATGTGATTTATGCTATTTATCATGAATAACTATGCCTAACGTCAAAATAATCAAAGAATTACGCATGTACTTAACAAATCAAAACTCAGACTTGCGCTACAGGCGTTGCAGCGCTGTCCATTGGTTTTAACAAACCCCGATTTCCATACCGCCATTGAAATCCTGTGACATACTACACGATAAAAAACGTGTTAGTTTACCAAAATCTACCACAAAATAATACAAATACAACGCAAACTGTAATTCCCTATGGCGGATCTTGAAGATACCTATAAGAATAACTTATCAATGCTGGTAGCTGCCGCTCACCCATTTTCAATCCCGGCTGGGCTCGCCAGACGCCAGAGTTTATAATTGGCTGTCGTCAAGCACGAACGTACTAAATTGCATCATAATCGCTTCGCATGCTTCACCTAGAAACAAAATAATTGCTCTGTCCATACAGTATAGTAAGTACCATTTACTTTGATTATTTTGGCGTAAAAAAACTGGCGAGTCTACGTCGAGCTTATACGCATGGATTACCATCGCTGTAAATATGAATAATTACACTGACAACCAAAACGATTCTCTATTCCCTTTGATCATGGTGTGTCATGCTCCTATAACTCTGCCGTTTTCCTAGCGAAATGCCCTTAAGATACTCAAATGATTCCTCAAATGATTCCTTTTAAGCATATCAGGGGTTTTGGTCTAAAACAACTCCCTGATCATTTTCTTCGAACATACCCAAACTATACCCTCATTCTTTAAATACCTCCCTTGAATTCTTCTAATATACCCTAGTGTACAGTCTCTGCCGCTACTGTCAGATACCGTACCTGTGCCGCTCGGCGCCTCCGGCGGTGACCGGTCGGCGGGCCGGGACTGGCCGGCCGGGCGGGCGGGGAGGACGGGCAGTCGCTCCCTGGACGTGTTGCTGACCACTAACACAGCACCAAACGCGGTGCCGTCTTCGCTGAATGCGTGTGGGCGGTGCGACGACATAACAGGCAGCTATAAGCTTGTTTTGACGCGCGGTATGGGCAGCTATAACCAGTCGCGGCGCAAGTGCGTTTGAGCCAGGTGATTCGCAACTGCCACCCAATCAGCATACTGCAGTCCAGTGCCGGCAGTGACGTACATGACACGTGATCAGGCAGCTGGGCCGAAAGCGCGCCAATTTTCAAAGGGTTTGAGCGCGCCAGTTGAGTTTGAGCGTGCAGTGGAGTTAACCCGCGCGGGGCTGGGGTCTCCAGCCGAACGCGCGGGGCTGGGGGGGTGTAAATTTTACCCCCCCCCCCTGTTATCTCCCGAACTAATGGTCCGATTTGGAAAATTCAAACGCCAATCGAAAGATCTCATCACGAACAGCTAAAAACATGTACTTAATTTAAATTTTGAGGTCAAGGTCAAGGTCAGGTCAAGGGTACAAATTGTAAGTTTCCACAGTATCGGCCTTGCACCGTAGTTTCCGAAGAATGGAGTCATGGACTGAGACTGATTGCCCAAAACGTGTTCTTAGGCTACCAAGACAATATTCGTTGCATACAATATCATTCAAAGGTCAAGGTCAAGGTCAGGTCAGGTCAGGTCAGGTCACCAAAAACAAAATATAGAAAAGGGCATGTGCGACACATGTTTTATGGGTCATTTTAATCATAGAATTCAATAGGCACACTCAATGAGTGATATGGACCACCTCTGGATGAATTTCAGGTCGAGGTCAGGTCAAGTTCAGGTCAAGTGAGGTCAAATTTTGAAGTTGGTTGTTAAGCCTAAAAAGGTGTCTATCTGATGCCGTTTTTCACGGCGAATCGAATGGTGCTATTTTTGTTTCCGTAAGAGGTCTAGAACTTCCAAAAAAATAATTTTTCAAAATTTGTGTGTGTCGTGACGTCATAAAATGTTCAATAACTTCCACATTTTTGAACCGATTCTTCTAAAAATTGGTATGTAGGTGCACATAGACCACTTCTCTGACATATATTCCGGTTTTTTTGATACACTCAAAATTTTGGATTTTATAGTTATTTTCCCAAAAAAGTCAGTTTTTTGGAAAAATTTGGGCAAAAATCCAAAATTTTCAAAAAACCGAGATAGCCATTTGATAGACAAAGTAGAATTACGTATAACCTTTTTGTTACGTCTTGATTCCTTTAAAAATGAAGATGTTAGCGGCGTCTGAAATTTTGCCGTTTTTGAGGCGAAAATGGTGAACATGACGTCACTAAAACGTCAATTTCTCAAAAAAATTCCGACGGATTTCGCTCAAATTTTCAGGGAACCTGTCAAATTGATGTAAGAAAAGGTACTGAAAGTTTGGCGGCGCTGCGCGCCGCCGTTTTTGAGATATTGCAAAAATTCGCGAGGGGGGTAAAATTTACCCCCCCAGCCCCGCGCGGGTTAACCCGCGCCCCACTGGGGGGGGGGGCTATTTATAGCCCCCCTCCCGTTTTTCTGCAATAACTTCCAAACCGCTTGACGGATCAACGCCAAACTTTCGGTACCTTCGGCTGCATTAATTTGACACCTTGTGTCAAAATTTGAACTTCGTAGCTACCATAGGTCGGCCGGAAATGACGTCAGAGTGACGTCATGTTCGTCCGATTTCGACGCAAAACATTGAACCACGGCAATCGCTCCCAAGAGCTCAGTTTTTAAAGGTAGTGTGCCAGCTTTCCTGGACCGTATGGAGTTAATGGCCCAGATAAGGAGAACCGGATTTTTAGAACTTATCCATACCTTCAAAACTCATGGAAACGTCTTAAATTCTTCAAATTTTGAGTACCCCAGTGCGAAATTCGCCCCGACGGGTTGTCGGTCGTACCCCAACCACATTTCATACCACTATGAACAATAAATGCACACACTGAAATCGCTATTACCGATATGCTCATCCAATCAAGTTTCGATAAACCCGTTCATCATCATCTCCTGCGGTTTCGAACACGCCTGTTAGGTGGTGCGGTAGACCGCGCCCAAAGCCAGGGCCCCGGTAACGTGAGGTAGCCGAGTCGGGGCAGCGTGCGCTGACCCAAGCCGGGGCCGCGCGTCCTCCCGGTGTCATGTGATAGCCCGGGGCTGCCCGCGGGGATGCGGTAGACCGCGCCCAAAGCTGCGGCCCTGGTTTGGGTCAGCGCACGCTGCCCCGACTCGGCTACCTCACGTTACCGGGCCGGGGCCCTGGCTTTGGGCGTGGCTTCTGCTCATACTTTGTGGTGCGGTGGTGGTGCGTCGGGCCGCGCGCTCTGACTTCGGCCAAGAAAAATGCGTCAGCTGATCATTGTCATTTCTGCCACTTGCGTGTGGTGAAATGGGGTCATAACTTAAGAGACGGCTTTTTCATATCAATTATTTTACATAAAATCATATTTCAAACCATAAATAATGTTCGACAGCCAAATAAAAGAAACAATACCAATACAGGCTTACAGTTTAAGGCTCGACATTGTGTTGTCTACGATTAGACAGCTGATAACTCATTCCCGTACGTCGTAACTCTATAATGACCTTTGCTTATTGTCACATGTGCGCCGCATTCGCGATTGTTGCCGACGCCTGTTTGCAGGTCAGCCCACTACAGTTGTTATACATATCGAAAAACCGATAAACTTTTAGGCGAAAAAGGCACTATTCCAGGCCCATTTTTGATTTTCTTTGCGATATTAGGTAAAAACAGAAGCTTCTTATCCTAGGAAAAATAAAATGGGAAATCTTTCAAAGGTGGCACACTACCTTTAAGCTAGATCCAATTTCTTTGCATGAAAGGACTCAGAATTGACCGCGCTATCAAACTGCAATCTCGGATTTTCAAAATTTTGAAAATTTAGAAAATTTGATATAATAATATTCAAGATTTATATTTTTATATTTTTTTTCAAAAAGTTTTTGACTTTTCGAAAAAAACGGAATATATGTGACAGAACGCATGATTATGACTAGCTCTAGCAAGTTTTAGCTAAATATCTTCAAAAATGGCCAAGTTATACGCATTATTGCAAAAACTTCACAATTATTAATTTTTCAAATCAATTTTTCAGTACGTATTTGACATCGTACACCAATATAAATGGCACCATCGTGTTCCTGAGCTCAAACTGCATCCAATAGACACCTTTTTGTTGAAAAATTTTAACTTCAAAATTTTGACCTTTTTTGACCTGAAAGTGACCTGACCTAGGCTAAATTCGACTCAAAATGACCTCGAATGACACAGACGACATCAAATTCGAAATCTATGGCCTAAATGGACCATAAAACATGTGTCACGTGACCGACGCATGGCATAATATTTTCGTGACCTGTGATGACCTGACCCTGACCTGAAAATCAAAGTACAAGTTTGGTACCCTCAAGGTATCTAGAGAATCTGTTCACGAGTGTGGAAACCAAAAATGAGCCTGATCTGACTTGTAAGACGGCGGCCAGAACCCAAAAAGTGAACAATGCAAATATCGATAATTCTTACTTTGGCCTGACCTGTGACGTCATCGGTGACCTCGAGGTCAATGAAATTAGGTTTCGTTCGACAGTTTTTCCGGGGCTATCAGACGCCGTTTGAATTTTGACGATCGGCCCAGTAGTTTCGGAGTTAGGAGGGGGGCTATAAATAACCCCCCCCCCCC